TGCTGAAAGGAAAAATAGGAGTCTAATAGAGATGGTACATTATATGCTTAGAGATATGGGGGTACAAAAATCTTATTAGCATTATGTTGTTTTGACTTCTACCTTTCAATGTAATCGTACACCAAGTCGTGTTCTTCAACATAGGGCTCTCTTACAGATCTTATTCCCTAAGCGAACACTTTTTTCTGTTCCCCCTCGTGTTTTTGGTTGCACATATTTTGTTCAGGATCAGTCTCCTATTCGTCATAAGCTTGATGATAAAGCGATTTGTTGTGTCTTTATGGGCTATTGTCATCAGTCTGAGGGGTATCGGTATTATAATTCGATCAGGCGTCGTATGTATCACAATCTAGAATGTTACTTTTCTTGAGCACATTCCTTATTTTTCTTCTAGTCTTGTGTCTGTCCCTCCAGTTGATGATACTCCCTTTGATTTTCTGTTACCACAAGAGCCAGAGCCACTCGTCCCTATCTGTACAAAGTCACTAGTCTCTCATCCTTTGCAGGTTTATGTTTGTAGCCCTCGCTCTCATCCCCTACTGATGTTCCCTCTACCTTAGGTGATGTAGGTAATACTTCTCAGTTCGTTGAGCATATTGATGCACCTGTTGTTAGTACTGATGAAATTGTAGGTACTGATCCAGTTACTTTTCCTGATGAGACATTGTCAGTGGAGAATGATGATTTAGGGCGTCGTTATCCGTAGCTTAATCGCCGTCCAATTGTTCATTATAGTTGGACTGTCAGGACTTTATATCCGATCTCTGTTTATGTTTCTTATTGGTGATCTGTCTCCTATATGTTGAGTTTATAGTATGGCCTTATCAAATACGCCGATTCCTCACTCTGTTTCAAAGGCTATACGGGAGCCCTAGTGGATTCTTGCCTTGCAAACGAAGATGGACGCTCTTTAGCGCAATCATACATGAGATCTTGTCTCTTTAACTTCAAGGGTGAAACCTGTTGGCTGTCGTTGGGTTTACACCCTGAAGTTTCTTGCAGATGGTACTATTGATCATTACAAAGTCAAATTTGTGGCAAAAGGCTTTACTTAGGTACTAGGTCGTGATTTTGGTGCTACATTTGCCCCTGTGGTAAAATTGACTACTATTCGGTTAATTATTTCTTTGGCTATGGAGTACTCTTGGCCTCTTCATCAATTAAATATGAAGAATGTATTTTTTCACGGTGATCTAGATGAGATTATTTATATGGATGCACCACTAGGATTTCGTGGTGAGGGGGAGTATGTTGGGAAGGTGTGTCGACTACGTAAGTCTCTTTATGGATTGAAACAGACACCACAAGCCTGATTCTCTAGATTTAGTGGTGTAGTTGTACATTTAGGGTTCACTAAATGTCATTCAGATTATATATGTTTTATTCGACAAAATACTTATGGGCAGGGTGTCATCCTTTTGGTATATGTGGATGATATTGTTATTACTAGAGATGATATTTCTAGGATTACACAAGTCAAGGTAGACCTTGGAAAGGCCTTCGATGTGAAGGACCTTGGATTTCTGTGATACTTTCTTGGGATTAAGGTTACCCGTAGCAGCAGGGGTATTGTTCTTTCTCAGAGAAAGTATGTTCTAGATCTTCTATCGGACACTGGGATGTTGGAGTGCAAACCGGCATCATCATCCATGATTTCAAACCTAAAGCTTAATGTGAAGGTGAGGAGTTGAGTGATCTGACTATCTATCAGAAGTTAATAAGTAGACTTATCCACCTAGCCAACACTATGTCAGACATTTTATTCGCTATCAGCCGAATTATTCAGTCAACCTCATCTTGATGCAGTTTATCATATTCTTTGGTACCTCAAGTCTTGCCCTAGACTTGAGTTGTTCTATTCATCAGGATCTCAGACTGGTTCTCTAGCCTGTTATTCAAATCTAGATTATGAGGAGCGTGTGACGGTCGATCTACTACGGGCTTTTATGCTTTTCAAGAGACTCATCTTATCTCTTGGAATAGCAAAAAACAATCAGTTGTCTCTCACTCATTAGCAGAGGTAGAGTATCGGACATTGACACTTGACACATGTGAGATTATCTGACTATGATCGATTCTTGGGGAGTGGGGATTTTCAGCGACTTCTTCATCTATATTATATTATGATAATCGATCTGCTATTCAGCTCATTTCTGACTCTGTATTACACAAGAGAACGAAACATATAGAGATCGATGTTCACTTTCTTTAGGAGAAGGTTAGCAGTCGTATTGTCACATCATCGTTTGTGGGGACAAATGATCATGTTGTAGATATTTTTACCAAACCTGTCACTCTATTCATTCGTCAAAACTCTGTTGTCAAGCTTGGCTTAGTTGACATTTTTGCGTCTAGCTTGAGAGGGAATATTAGAGTTATAGCAACATGGGTTACTAGGGTTTATTACAGTTTTTTTTTTTTTACTTTTTTATCCTTATTGTAACTTTTATTAGCTATATATAAAGGGGTCTCTACACTTAGTTTGTATCCCTTTTTACTCACATTTATTTCAAGTAACTCCATTAATAGTATTTTATTCATCACTTCATAAAAGAATATATCCCTTTATTACGAAGACAGAAGACACCTCATGAAAGGACTACAACAATATAACCGTTACAGAGAAAACTCAAACAAAATTTGAAATTTTACCAGTCACATTCGAATTGACACCATCCTAACACACATGAATTTTGGAATCAATCCTACCATGACAATATTGTAAATCTGAAAACCAACTTGTTGAAATAAAAATATTAATATCTTTGCAGTAATGTAGGCTTCAACCAAACGCATCTTTGCAACAATGTAGGTTCGAACAGAACGCACACCATATATATTGCTTTCCCCTTCCTTGTTTTAACCTCGTGACTGTGGAGTGATGGTAGGTGTTGGGTCAAGTATTGAACTTGGATGACTTGACTTGGAAAGAGATGCAAATGGGAAGAAGGTTTCATCAAAAAATCACATGCCTTTGAAATATGAAATTTGTTGAAGGCATGATCAAAGCAAATACATCCTTTATAATCCTTGGCATAACCTAGAAAGACACACTGAATTGGCTTTGCCTACAACACTGAACTGGCTTTGCCTACAATTTGTTGGTATTGCGATGTTTGAGGAGAGGGTAACAGGCATGTCCAAGTACCTTTACGTCTAAGTAATCTGGAGGTGTATTAAAAGGCAATTATTAGGGAGATTGAGACGAAGTAGTGTTGATGAAAAATACTGATGTAGCAAAAGCATGATACCAAAACTAAGTGGGCAGAGCAGCTTTAGTCATCAAAGTCTATGTTGTTTCAACTATATGGGGATGTTTCCTTTCTGATGTGTCGTTACGCGTAAACTGATCCAGATACTCTTGACCGTTAATCAAAAAAAACTTTGAAATGCATGCCTACAGAAGCTCAGTTTGGTGGATCCTCAAAACGACCTTTTTTGACTTCTCGCGAAGTCAATAACAAAAATTAGGATATTTCATGGCTACCATTTTTTTAAGCATAATGACTTGTATAACCTTGGTAGTTATTTTAAGATTTAATTGTCCTTGAGGTCTCTAAAGTATAAAATTTGTCTCATTTTGATCCTCAATACTTCAATTGTATCATTTGATCTCTGAAGTATTTAATATGTTTCTATGTGGTCCCTCAGGTAAACAACATACAAATTGCTAATGATTTTTTACTATAAATTTGTCATATGATATCTAAATATGGATCAAAAAATAATTTGAATAACTCTTGACTAAATTTTGGTTAAATAGTTATCCAAATAACACAGTTTTAATCATAAATTATCAAATTTTTGGTCAAGAGCTACTCACATTCTTTTTTGCCCATATTTAGGTATCACGTAACAAATTTATGATCAAAAATTATTAGTAATCTGGATGTTGTCTGTTTGAGGGACCACATAAAAATATATATTCAATTTGTTAGGGACTACAATGATATAATTAAAATATTATGAACTAAAATGAGATAAACCCCATATTTTAGAGACCTCCAATACAATTAACCTTTTATTTTGCATTCCCTCGCCTCTCCGGCTTTCTATCTTCTTATTTTCGATTTGTTCATCACTTTATTGCCATAAGCTTAATGAATTGTCTATTGAGAGCTCACCTTTTAACTAGCATAAACCACACAGAATTCTTGGACTGCCCACCACATAGGCCATTGTCGGAGGCAAGTTGTGGAATTCAAAGAAACATAACTGGCATATTCTGAATGGAATCAAAATGGGTTTCTAACAAACCTTAGTTTTATGCTACTAACTCTCAATTTGATCCTATTTTTGGTTCATTTTGATACTAAAAATGGAGAAAACTCAGTACCAAATGCTTAGCAATTTTTTATAGAGCTTATTTATGATTTCGTGTTGAACCCGGTAAACAAACAAGTTGGTGATCTTTCTGAAAAATGTTAAACAAAAGTTTTTCCCTCACATCTGTCACTTTTATTTTTTCGTTATTTCATAATCCCCAAGGCATGACGTCTTATAGCTTCACAATTACAAGTCATTTTCTTTTACTTTGAGCCTCTTATTTTCTATTTTTTTTGGCATTACTATAGTGGGATTTGAAAGAAATGAGCTTCATTTTTTAAGCTTCTTGTTATCTGCAGGAGTCCCACTGCCGTTAGCACCTTTTTTAGTACTCCTTGAGCTAATCTCTCATTGTTTTCACGCATTAAGCTCAGGAATACGTTTATCTTATTATTATTTCTGGACGTTGGGGTGTGTTAAAATTGTTTTAGGTCTAATTCTTTATGTGGTTTAATTTAGGGGGTGGATGACTAGCTAAGGTGTGCAGGATCATTTTAAACTTTTAATTCAATCCCAATGACAATATAAGTTAAATGAGTAATCACCGCACTTCTTAAATGTTGCCACCAAACATTATTGTTGCATCTAGATGTAGTTTTTAGTTCAAAAGCACTTCCAAAACACTCTCTCACCTGCCCTTTTTGAAGTCTGTGAGGGGTTTTCCATAAACTCATTCAGTTTTCCAAAGTATTCTTTGATCGATTGACCCAATCCATAAACTCATTCGTTGGAATCTTCAAGATGCTTGCTGAGATGATCTGGTTGGTGGATGACACAATAGTAGCAGCAGCTCCAAATAAAGAAACGATAGTACCCATTTTCTGATTAAAGACACGGTCGAAGAAACTGCTGCATTTTTCGCTAACGAACCAAGACTTCATGTAATCAAATAGATTTAAACTCAAGACATATAAATTTACATCTCAACCTTTATTCGACAACAAAATCAACTTCATGAACCTAAAAATTAAGTAGCGGCAAGATTGAGTCAAAGTCAAGTTCAAGAAACTTAATCTGAACCTGATCCTGGAAATTCTCAAACCCCTCGACGACGTTGTTGGCTACATCCTCTTTCAACTTCACTGTCTCTTTATCCTTGTCCTTCAAAGATGTCTCCAGTCCCTTTAAAGCATCTCCTAGCTCAGTCCGCGCCTTAGAAGCACTGTCAAGGTCAATCTTCAGACGCACGGCCTCCTCTTTGACTTTAATTTTCTCAGACTTGGTTATATCTCCCGCCTCAGCCAGCTCAAAGAGCTCCTGGTCCTTGGAGGCCAATCTTTCCTTCAAAGAATCCTTTGAAGACTTCAAGGCCTGCACCTCCTGATGAAATTTCCCGGGTTTGTCTTTGCAAGCCATCAACTCGAAGCGTTGATCCTTACATAATTTGGCCAGCCCTTGGGCTTGGAGGGACATCTACTTGATGTAGGCAATGGACTGCAAACAGAGACAAAATTATAAGCTCAAAAACAGGAAAAACCCTTACTACTACCAAACCATGAAGAGTGCCAGAGTTCTTATCGTCAAACTTGGGCCTCTCAATTTCATTCAGATCTTCCTCAGGGACGATGCTCAGAAGGGTCCTTATAACCGAAGGAGGATCATGAACTAGGACTGGTTGATCGGAGGTAACACCAATCAACTGTTGATCCCCTCCGGTCACCCCAGGAGGAAAATAGGGGAAGCGAAAGCCGAGGGAGAATAGGTTGAAGCGTCATCAAAACGAGGAGGAACCTGTGTGAGAATAAAATTAAGTTTTAAAACTTCAATTTTCATTGAAACTATGTTTAAATTTTGAATTTTTTAGTTACATATTTTTTATCCTATTTATTGTGAATATTCAAAAATAATACTCCCTCCGTTCCTAAATATATGTCGTTTGACACAATTTTTTTTGTTCCATAATATCTGTCGTTTTATGAAACCAAAGCATAATTAATATTTTTTCTTCCAAATTTACCTTTAACTTTTCAATGTATTAAATTAGGTGGAGGTTAAGTGTCTTTTATATTCTTTTTTTTCTCAATACGTATTGAATAAGGGTATTTTAATCTTGTATAATTATTTTTTACTCATATTACAGCTATTTAATAACTTCCTAAGTTCCTGTGCAAAAACCTTAAACGACAAATATTTAGGAACGGAAAAAGTATTTATTACCTTAAATTTTATTTATTGTGAATATTCAAGAATAGCATTAAGTATCTTAAATGTGATTTTATGGCTATTCATTGGTTAAAAATTTGAAGAGTCACTTTCAAACCCAATGGCTGTATTAAGTATCTTAAATGTGATTTTATGGCTATTCATTGGTTAAAAATTTGAAGAGTCACTTTCAAACCCAATGGCTGTATAAGTAATGCTAAGCAACTATTCTAAAATATAAAATTCTCAGCCAAGTGTTTATACAAGCAAATAAATATATACAATCATCTTCTATTATTTGTTATTCGAGCAATTCGATTCGAGTCAAGTTTATCCTAACCTTCCAGTATACGTGACCATTGAGGAGGAGTTATTGTGAGTATCTGGGTTGAATCTTGGAATTGCTGATGTCAGTCAGTACCCTCACGTGGGGAAACTCAGCTGCTTTAGAATAGTGATCACACGCCTCTCAGACTCGCAGACCAGCTCATTCCAAATTAATTTATTTGGTTTATATAGATTGCATGTTTATATATTTTCTGTATTTGTTTAAATTGCATGTTATATTTTTAATGATCTAACTACTATTTGCATACTTTATTTTGAATTTTAGATTACAACACTCATAGTTATTTTGCTCACATTATAATTCTAATAATTGTTGATTTGGTCAAAAGTTCAGTAGCAAGTTTTCTTAATTCCAATTATAAATCTATGCTTAAAATCTATAATTATTTTTACATTCTAAAGCAATTGAGCTTTTGTTGTTGAAATTATAAAAAAAAACATTTTTTTCTGGAAACAAAAATAGTAAAAATTTTCTGGGGAAAAAAAATCTGTTACTATTTTTCTGGGAAAAAACACTGTTTTTGTTTTCGAAAAAAACAAACTGTTACTGTTTTTTTCTAAAAAAAACTGTTACTGTTTTTCTGAAAAAAAAAACTGTTTCTATTTTCGGGGAAAAAAAACAGTCTTTAGAGAAGGGGAAAAAACAGTTTTTTGGAAAATAGTTTCCAAAAAAAAAAATAATAATTTTTGTTGAAATTTTTTTTTTGAATAGTAACAGAATCTATCTAAAGGGATCTACAACAATAAACAAGGAGGGGGGGGGGGCCTAGTGGCCATTTGCTTTAATAAAAAAGGGCTATTACAATAATTTAAATATCTTTCTTAATTTCGTTACAAATAAAGTTTTGATAGTTGTCATTTATATTCAATATAAGTTCTTTGCATATCTCTTATTATTTCTTTGTCCTTCAATTCTAAATTAAGGATTACTAGACTAGAAGAAACTATTAGTGTCAAACCCAAAAAATTTAGTGGTCAAAATTTTCGTAGGTGGCAAAAACAAGTTCGATATTGGTTGACCGTACTAGACTTAATTTCTGTTATAGAATAGCCTCAACCTAGTCAAGAGTTCTCTTCATGGTATACCCCTGAACAAATTGAATATCACTATCATAATAGGATTCTTAGTGCTCTTTCTGACCATCTTTATGATGTCTACCATAATACTACGACAACCGCCAAAGAGCTTTGGAACACTTTAGAGGACGAGTATGAGATTGTTGATGCTGGAATTAAACAATTTATTACCTCTAATTTCAATAATTATAAAATGATGGTGAATAAACCCGTTGATGATCAAATTCATGAATATCAAGAATTTTTTAGGAAAATTGAAAAAGGTGGAACTACATTTAGTGAAGGTTTTAAAGTTTCAAGCGTAATTGACAAACTTTCACCTTCTTGGGATAATTTTGCTAAGACCCTTAGACATAAGCAAGGAGAGTTAACATTAACCCAAACTATGAACGCGCTTAGGGTTGAAGAGAAACATAGAGTTAGTACAAACTTACAAAATGAGAGACCCCCTAAGGTAACCCTAGTGAAAATTATTAACAACAACTATAACAATTTTCAACCTAGGGAAATAAATTTTAAGAATAAGAGGTTTAATGGTGGTCCTAATAATGGTCAAAAATAAAATTATCAAAATAATAATAATAATAATAAGTTCAAGGGCGTAAGGATAGAGAGGATGCCTTGCTTTGTTTGTGGATGAACCAATCACTTGGCTAAGGATTGCTACTACAAGAATACTGAGCCGCATAAGCCAAAGCTCAAGCCAAATCAAAGAGGTCCAATAGCCCAAGTCAATGTTCTAGTGGATGGAGTTAATTCTACCGAACCCTCCTTTAGGTATAACCGTTCCCTAGTTAATTTTACTTATAAAGATAAAGATTGGTGGTTAGACTCTAGGGTTAATATACATGTTTGCTGTGATTGTGATTTATTTAAATCTTATCAGAAATCAAGTGGAGGAAGTGTAACGCTAGGAAATGATTCCGTCGCACAAGTACTTGAAATTTGAGACATAGAATTAAAGATGACATCTTGTAAGACATTGATTTTGAAGGGAGTGCAACATGTTCCTGAAGTTAGAAGAAATTTAGTCAGTGGGTCGTACTTAGTCCAACAACGTTATTAGGGTGTAATGGAGTCAAATAAAGTTGTGATAACTAGGAATGATATATTTGTTGGCAAAGGATATGTTTGTGATGGTTTATTTAAATTGAATGTACTTTCGAAAGCTAATGAAATTTCTCATCAAGTTTTTAATGTTGATTCTTGCAATGTATGGCATGGAAGATTAAGACACATAAGTCTCAAGAAAATCAAAAGGATGATGAATCTCAATCTTATTCTCAAATCTCATGTAGATTTTAAACATAAGTGTGAAATTTGTGTACAAGCCAAACAAACTAGAAAATCTCATAAAAGCGAAGAAAGGAATATCCAACTTCTAGAACTTATACATAGTGATGTATGTGATTCTAGTAGACTGACAACAAGAGCCGAAAATAAAAATTTTGTGAATTTTATAGATGATTGTTCTAAATATTGTTATATTTATCTTATCAAGAACAAAGACGAAGTATTTAAAAAGTTTAAGATATATAAAAATGAGGTTGAAAATCAATTAGAGAGAAAAGTGAAAAGACTAAAGTCCGATAGAAGAGGTGAATATAATCTAACTGACCTCAGTACATTTTGTGAAGAATATAGAATAATACATAAAGTGACTCCTCCTTATTCTCCTCAATCAAATGGGGTAGCTGAAAGAAAGAATAGAACCTTAATGGATATAGTAAATTCAATATTAACTAGTTCTAGCCTATCTGATAATTTGTGGGGGGGAAGCTATACTTAGTGCGTGTTTCAGGACTTAAAAGAAAGGTTGACACTTGTCGCTTGATCTAGACACAAAGCGTCCCAAGGCTGCTATTCTCCTTGTTAGGTGTTGGATTTCCCTTACGTTAGATGGTGGCTGCATATCTAGGACTGCCTTAACTTTTTTGGGGTTAACCTCTATTCCTTTACTATTTACTATGAAACCTAAAAAATTTTCGCAGATACTCCAAAAGCACATTTGGCAAGGTTTAGCTTCATCTTGTATTCCTTAAGGACCTGAAACGATTATGCTAGGTGTGCAATGTGGAGCTCTGCCTTCAGTGACTTCACCAGCATGTCATCGATATAAACCTCCATGGATGTTCCAATTTTCCTTTGGAACATTCGATTCACTAGACGCTGGTAGGTAGTTCCCGCATTCTTCAACCCAAAAGGCATAACCTGATAGCAGTAAGTCCCCTGCTCAGTCACGAAAGAGGTCTTCTCCTGGTCGATTGGATCCATTCTGATCTGATTATAACCTGGGAAAACGTCCATAAGCTGAGGAGTTCGTGCCCAACGGTGACATCCACTATTAAATCGATCCGGGGTAAAGGAAACTATCCTTAGGGCACACTCGATTAAGATTAGTAAAGTCTATGCAGAGTCGCTATTTGTTGTTGGTTTTCCTGACAAGAACCACATAGGCCAGCCAGGTAGGGTAATCTACTTTCCTGATTGCTCTGGCGTGAAGAAGCTTGCCGACCTCCTCATTGATTGCCTTCTGACGCTCTGGGACAAAACTCCTTCGCTTCTGCTTGACGGGCTTGTAGGTAGGATTCACACTCAGCTTGTGAATGATAACCGAGGGGTCAATGTCTTCCATGTCTTCTTGTTTCCAAGCAAACACCCTCATATTCATCTTTAGGAACAGGATGAGAAAGTCCTTAACCTCTCTACTCAGTTTAGTCCTAATGTAGACAAGATGTTCTGGCTCTTCATCAAGCTAAATTGGCTCCAGCTCTTCCGATGGCATTGGCCTGGTGCCCAGTTCGTCCCTCATGTCCAGCTCATCTAGTCGTATATTTTCAACTTCT